GCTTTTACTAAGAGTGTCATGCTCTTTTGAATTGTTTTCATCTGACATCAAATAGGACTTCTCATTCCTTCCCAAATTCAAAACAATCCAGGTAATGAACAAGCCACCCACGGTGTTTCTCCCATCAGCTCATCCTGCTCTGGTTTTCCCATTCACAGGACTGTCCTTCTACAGAAAAGCTGTCTGATAAGAAGACCTTAGTGAAACAGCAGAAGAAAACTGCTTTGTAGCTGGTATTTATTAGCTGCTTTTTTCATTACTTAGTATCTGTTGCATTTTTCCTTATTTTTTTTTAAGCGCATCTTTGTAGTCTCTTAAATTATAGTCCTAAAGATGGGGTTTGAGTTTGATCTACTCCACTTGTGCTTAAGAAAATTTCTTGATTTAAAAGAATTTACTGTTCAGGGACGAAGTACAAGTGAATACAAGTGTTTATGCTTTATACCCATTTGCTACTCTTTACTGGAGCAGTAGGGTACTCTGGGCCTCTGTTCTCCTGCAGGTGGTTTCATAAAGACAGCTTTCTGTAAGTTTGCCTCAGTTAGATGATTTCCTTCTAGGTGTGTTCTTGAGAATCCCAAGGATCTCAAAGCTATCCAAATACGGATCGTTCAAAGTTCCTTCCTAAATACTGAACAAAGTACGCTCTAGTATTTGACCAATTTTGTCTTTCAGCACTTTTTTTCCTATGGGGTGTGTTGCCTGTCTGTCAATTACTCTCATATATTGTTAAGCATCTTAGCAAACATTTCAGTATTTGCTAATTTTGGTTCTGAAAACATCTGTTCAGTTACACTGCGGTACAGCCAGTTCTCTACAACTAATTGTCCTGGTTTGAGAACACCAGGACAAAAGTTCTCTGGGGCTCCTGGCCCAGGGGGCAGTCACAGCAGGGGAGAGGGGCAGCTGTGCCTATGGGGAGGAGAGGCTGGGTCAGGTGACCCAAATGGACCAATCACAGTGCTCTTCCCCATGGCGCTCAGTATAAAAGGGCCCCTAAAAAGAGCCCTGGAGCCTTTGGTGGTTGTTGTGCTGGGGGGTTGCTGCTGGCTCATCAGTGTCTTTTCCTGTGCTGCTGGTGTTCTCCTGTTTCCACGCTGCAGAGGAGTGCTGTTTGACAGGATAGGTTGTCTTCCCCCGTGTTTTTCTTCCCATGTGAGAGCCACAGCTCCTTTTCTGTTTGTTGGTTTTTGGACTGTTGTCAGGACTCTGTGCTTCGGTTGCCCCTGCCTGCTGCAGAGTCCAGTCTGGGACCTACTTTTTCTGCTTGGGACCTTGTTGTCATCTGAAAGGTTTAGGTCCCGTGTTAACATGTTCTCTTGTATGTTTGAGTATATTTATATACTTGTATGTATATATCTGTATGTAGGTTGACATCTTCATTGTTACTGTTAGTATTACCTTTTTTTCCATTAAACTAGTTCAAGATTTTTTTTCAACCTCAAAGCCTCTCCCTGGTTCTTCTGTTATCCTCCCCTGGGAGAGTGGTGGGGGGATCACAGAGAATGTTGTTGAAGTGTAGCGGCCAGCCCAGGCTTCAACTTCTATAGTAAGCTATCGCTTTATGTAAATTCTGATGGAACCGGGGCTGCTGTCTATTGAGCAAAACTCTGAATGAGGAAGAACGGATTAAACCTCCTGCTTTCATTTCAATCACAACCTCTGAATACTTTTTTCTTCAATGTAAGGAAAGTGAGCTGTTGACAGACCTCTGATGTCTGTCTAGTGTATGCCCAAGCCACATGCCCATTATTTACCAGAAAGCTTTTGAAGTTCTTCTCTTCGTGCTGGCATACAGAACATAGTTGGAAGATTTGCAGTAAAAGCTTTAGCACTCTCACTTTTCTGAAAGTGTGTTGTATATGTAACTGTTTCTGCTGTTCAGGCATTTACAGAAGATGATGTTTTTCATTACTTTAGAGCTGTCACATTTGTTTTACTTTCCAGGCCAATGCAGAGCCCCACACTTCTCCACAGCTCTTCCTGTACACTCACTTCATGGCACCAGTTAGACACACACTTCTTCAGTTTCCCACAGACTCAATTTTCACTTTTTCTTTCAGGAGCAATTCCCAAGTTTTCTGTTTCTCTCTCTGGTCAGCTCTCTAGTTGTTTGTTTTTTTTTGGGGGGGGGTACTATTGTTTGAATCGGAGTCATAAAATCTGCTGGTGAACAATGTTAGTATCTTGACCAAAGAAGCAGTTTCTTACCAAGTCTATCAGCTGGTGTTAGTCTGTAATCATTAATTTTATAAACAGAAGTACTGCATTCCATAAGCTGTGATACTCTTAATAAACAGTGATCATTTTTACTACAGATAAACCAGGGTTATATGTATGACACCTAAGCTGACTTCAAAATTTCTTCCTTGATACCATTTGCACAGCAACTTCTAAAGGTAGCATAAGAAAATGTGTATGTGAAAATCCACTGAGAGGGAACACTGTCTTGCCTATCTCTGTGAAGAATTTCAGACCCTCTTACAACTCTTTTTCATTAAAAGCTGTGCTCATGGTTTGTACTTGATCCTGCAGTTGTTTGCACAGCTGAATAGAGACATCATCTGCCAGGGACTGTGCTCTCACACTGCAGCTGAACACAGGGATGGGTGCCAGCAGGGGCAGTTTAGGCTGGATTATTTTACATGAAGCCAGTGAACCTGTCGGTCAAGTGTTCATCTTCTGAGCACAGGCTTTGAAAATGGAGGGTGAATCAGCGTCACCTATGTCCCAGTTCCTCTGCTGCAGTGATTGTCTTTCTTTACACTTAAAAGAAAGGTCTGTTCTCAGTTTTGGCGTGGGTTTTTTTGGTTTTTCTTTTTGTTAACAATAATCACTTCCTATCTTTGAACCCTCCAGACTCTGATACGTTTTCCCAAATTCATCCCAAATCTCCAGTTTATGGTAGTGGAGTGCAAACCCGAGTTTCTCACTTGTAATAACCATCCAGCAACACTTCAGGCAGCTACAGGCCTTTGCTGATGGAGCAATTGCCCAAGTCCTGCAGTAAACAGCCAGGACCAGCAGCTTGCAGGCTGGCCAGAACAGTGTTCATGTAAGGGCAAAGCCTGTGGCTCTATCCCCCTCTCCTCCCCAACAAGTAAATAAGAAACAGAAAATTGCTCATGAGCTACTCCCTTCCCACGTACGCACACTGTATATTTACATCCTCTCTATTACCCATGAACATTTCCAAGGAAGCACAGGTTTGCCATGCTAAAATAGTTTTGTCTCTTCTCCCCTGCCCCAGTCCTCTGCACCCCTTGTCCCTCCCTGTCCCTTCGCGCAGTACTAGCACAACCCTTTAATGACCTGTTTAATGTCTCGTTCAGGGAGCGCAGAGAGATGCTGGTTTTGGCCATCTTCCTGGAGAACAAGAAGAAATAAAAGCCGGAGTGGGCTCGATACTCTCTCCTGAAGCAGGTAGCAACAACAGGGACAGGGAAACGGACTCCTGCTGGAGTTTGTTTGTACCAAGGCTTTTTATAGACTGTATATCCAAATATAGGTCATAAGTGCAGAGACACATGTTCACGAACATGTCACATACGCATCCGGGCCACTTCCTCTGAACAACTGATCCTGTCTTCATACATAAATCAATGGTGACACGAAAAGGGATACCTACACTATTCTGCTTTTTTTGCTGTCTCTTGGCTTCATTTTGCTGTACTGATCACGAGTTAGTGATTGGTTGGGGTTTTTTGTTTGTGTTTTCATTAATTTTTTTTGAATGAGAATGAGTTGTGTTTGGTTGTGGGAAGCTGCTTTCAGCAAAACCAAGATAGTTTAAATCTCTTCGGTAATGGATAGCAAGCCAGAATAACTAGCTAATGATTTTTCACATATGCAAAGACAGAGGTGGGTATTTTTCCATTAAAAAGGAGGCAGACAGACAACGTGCATTTGGTAACAACACAGCTAGTGAAGCAGGTCTTCAGCCAGTAGCAGGCATTCAGTTTTGTAAAATGTTAAGGACAGCCTGAGAAAAAAGCACTTTTTTTCCATTGTTTACCCATTCCATGGGAAATTCAGCATGAACTGAACATGTCAAGGAGCTGCAACATTACCCACCTTCAACTTGCAAATTAAATGATATTTCTAGCAAGGCAAGTTCTGCTCATTGTGTTTCTAAAGGTTTGGGAAGACAGTGGAAGTATTTGGGTAAGGAGGAGCAGCGCCTTTGGCCCTTTGTATTCCCCCTGTGATGGGGTACACAATATACTTTTGGACAAAATTTTGTGTAAGTCTGGCAATAAATATTAGAGTGAGTATAAGCACATGGTAGCCATGAGAGAGAAAGCATTTATTAAGACAAGTGTAATAGTTATTTTTTCCCTGGGATAAACAACTAAATGCATAAGACAGCCGACCCGTTAAACAGATATTAACATCTTCCCTTGCCCCTTCATTGACTGCAGTGTGAAAAAATCCAATTGGCAATGACAGTTAAGCTAATTTGATTACTCATTAGTTGATGTTTCTCTAGCCTTATATGCAGCTGCTGCCTAAGGAATGAAAAATGTATTTCCACTACAGCCAATTTAAGCTAACTGTGACACAGTTTAACGGGGAGAGTAACGTAAAGCACTGCAAGAGAATGCAAGGAGCTCAGCCAATGACATCTCTGTTACCGCTCAGCATCCTTGTTCGGCACTGTGAGTGTCTCCTTTAGTTCTTCCTCCAGCCTTAATTATGTCATCTCAGTTATGAACTAATATCACCCCTAAATATACTGAGACCCATTTCACTTAAATTCAAGAAGCAAACTGCCAACCCTGCAGGATACAGCTGCAGTGAATACCAACAGCCACTAAAAAGCATAATGCGAGGCCAGTTACATCATGAGTACTTGTGTGAGGACACAGCAAATCCCTTCCCCTTCTGAAGAACATAGCAGATTTCACTGTTCAGTTCACTGTCACGGCATGGAACTGGACTCGTTTCAAATGCTCTGAGAAGTGGTTTTCTCCCAGAAATTTCTTTAAACATCTCAGTGTCTACGGCTTGGGCAACGGATACACAGATATAGAATTACTCTGATCAGCAACTAATACCATCTTGGAGCTTTTGATCTCTGTGCACAAGATCCAGTTCACCTTCTCTCCATGCTCAATGGTTAGCTTTGGTAAAACTCTAGCATGCTCATTTGAGGCCACTTTGTTGAGCTTTCCATCTTTTCTGGTGGAAGCAGGTGCTTGCGACTTCCTTCTCTGCAGAGATTTTGCTGGACTTTTCTGCTGCTTTCCAACACTGCTGCTGACATCCCAGAGCAAGACTTTCCCATCATTTCCTCCAGTCAACAACCAGTATGCTTCTGGCATAAAGAGGACCTGTGATACTCCCAAGCTGTGACCCTGAAACTCCAACTCACGTTCAAACTTGACACCAGTCACTCTGAATATTCTGACTTTGCCATCTTGAGCTCCACAGCCAAATATGTTGCCACACGATGCGACAGACAGGCAATGTGCAAGTGGCGGGTTGAAGAACTGGCCAGCTGACTGGGAACTGTCTTCCTCCGTTTCACACTCCTGCAGGTTTGTGGTCCACAGGGGGCGAGCTTTCTGCAGGTTCCACAACATAACCTTAGGAAAAAACCATATGAATCAGTAAGTTCTCCATTTTATGTAAAATCAGATCTTTCGTTAAGAGTAAAATAAAACCCTAACCACACTTCTTGCTCTACTAGAGCAAAAGCTATGCAAGAGATGCAAGATGTGTTGTGAGGAGTGGTTGACCTTCAAGCTCATACTGCCCTATTCCACAGTCAATGACTCAGACATTTAGATTGCAAAAATGCTTTTGCATTCATCTCAGCAGTAGTAATCATAATATACTGCACATCAATTATTTAAAACGAGGGACATGGAGACACTAGCAGTGAACTGAGATAATTTTGATTCTGATTTTTAGCTCCCTCTCTGCTATGTACTTTTCCTAAAATAATCACTTCCATGAACATGTTTGAAAAATGGAGCAGCAAAAGGTAAACAGTAGTTCATGCCCTCATTTTTAAACAGAAATATATGTATTTTTTAATATGCAATGAGTAGATCCGATTTGTGCTATTACCATATCAAGGTAGGGTGTGCTATTCCTGATGAGATGGGAGGAGGTTGTGATTTTAGACTTGCTTTTAAAATGCTACCCCACCACCAAGCCCTTCGTGAAGCAATAACTGTGCCTTCAGATGAATCCTGCATCTCTCACTCAGCAATTCAGGATTTATACTGTGCCAGTTAAAAATAATTCTCTCAATACTTTTGTTGGATCTGAATTGATGATGAGCATTTTCAAGGCCAACACATGAAAGCACAAGTCAGTCTAAGCAGTACTGGTGTACTGTTTGCTAAATAATAATCCTCTAGTAGCCTCCAGCAGAAAGTACAGGAATCTAAATTTGTGTCACAAAAGGCTCTGCATTTTGGGAATCCAAATCACACTAAGACATGCAAAATACCTTGTTTACTGTCACTTTCCTGTTTTAACTACTGCTGTTGCTGCTACATTAAAACTACTTTGCTACCAAGGAAAGGCAAAATGACAACTATGAAGAGCAGAGTAAATCAGAGAGGCTGGGTCCTAACGCTTAAAGCAAATACTCCTATTTTCATCACAGCACTGCAACAGCTTTATGAATTCATCAAGTGCTAACACATTTTCTGGAAACTAAGTATTTCCTGTCCTCATGGCATTTTCCTTGCTTCCATGGAACTTCTAAAAAAATTTCAGCAACCTAAATTTCAGTTCTCATCAGCTATGGCTTGACTGAGGCTTTGACATGCAAGCACAGAACATATTTTGATGCTAGTAGAGCTCATAACTTGTCCAAAGACATGCTGCAGCACAGTAGTTCAGAGTATTGAAGCTCAGCTTCTCTTTGTGAAGTGGATGTATCATAAAGCCAACCTCAATGCAGAAAAATGCTCTTTTCATTGTACAAAACACAGTAATGAATTCATAGTAGTTGGCGATATTGACTTTCACCCAAAAAACAACTCGGCAAGCTGCGATAAACCATACTAAAACTAAAAAGTTACAAAAAAATAACCAGTTCAGTCACACAGAAGTGGTATACAAATGCTTATAATTCTGATAAAAAGTTTCCAGCCATCGGCTTGTTTAATCTGAATTTTAGGGACCTGAACTAAGGCAGCTAAGGTGCTGAGCATTTACTCCTCTCAGACTGAGACTTTGGTACCTCTGAAAAGAAGTGTCTCATAATACTTCATTTAAAATCCTACATCCATTTTTCAGTTAACCTAAGGAAAAAAAATAACTGGAAAACTTCTGAAAATTTGGCAAAGTCTAAACCTAGCAGACTTCCATCATTCAGCCCTATTTGGATATATATACTTACTGAAGTAAGTACCTACTGAAGTAAGTATATATATGATCCGTGGCTTTACTATGGAAAAATACTGCTTATACTAAATATCAGCATATATCTTTTCTAAGGGGCATTAGAGCACTTCGGTTTTAAGAACACAGGGTGACACTGCTCAATGCTGTCAAAGGCAACTTCACCCTAGTACCACTAGAACCATGGAAAGTTGCAGAATTGGTAGTTTTAATCTCGGGCTAAACCAGGAATGTGGTCAAATCTCAACCACTGGAAAGAAACTACTGAAAAGCATCTGTTCTGGGAGGCCAACTTCAGCAATGTAACACAAGAGTCCATTAACTCCTAGCATGGTTTTTCTCACAACGCTTCCATGAGTGGCATGCGAAGGACAAAATTTCCTCCTGATGAGGAAAGAGAAGCGTAAAAGGTAAAGAACATTTAATGCTCCCAAGATGCTTATCGGAAAAAAGGGATAAATTATAAAAATTACTTGTGCTTACAGTGGCTTGTAAAAGATATTTATCTACCTGTAGTAAAGTATTCTTGCTAGCATCCTATCTGCTTCAGGCATTTTGCCTTTTTCTAGCTATCATCTGCATTTCATCTGCAGCCATAACTTATCACTAGGGACAGCTTCTGTTTTTCCTCCATCCAACAGGGAGCTAATGTGGCATGAGTGTGCTTTGCAACTATTCTCATTTCCTCCCAGCCTGCTCACTTTTAGATTGTAAATATTAAGGAAAATAAAATCAGGGAGAGGAACTGTTAAGTAGAAAATAGCACAAACAGCCTGGACACTTAATTTCTCTGCCAAAACTACTTTAGAACAGTGAAGGAGCTTTCTGGTGACTGCAGGCTGCACACCTTCAGTCTTGGTGAAAGTATGTTGACGCCTCACTACACAGGTGGGCAGTTACTGTTTCACATCTCTAATAACCATCTACTTGTATGCAAATCACCTGCATGTCCAGTCCACAGGAAATAAGGCTTTGAGGCCTCTGAGGTCGAAAGACAACAGAGGAGCAGATATTTGAGTGTCTCAAGGACCGGCTGACTTTCTTGTTTTCCAAGTCCATAACCTTTATTGCCCCTGAGTCATCTGCTGCAGCCAAGAAATTCTCAGTCTCATTCACTGAGAGGCAGTTGATCTCCTCCTCATTCACATGGAAGCGTTCAATGGGCTCCTTGAGGGACCGGATATCCAGCAAAGTGATAGTTTCTCCATGGGAGGTGTACAGCCTGGTGGGACAGCGGGGAGAGAACACCATGGATGTCACGTCGTCTGCCTTTGGGAGCTGGAGCTGTCCCGTCGGAGTGCCTCCTCCATCCCAGAGTGTAAGCTCGCCTCTCTCAGCACCTGAAGCCACCAGCCCTTCCGTGTTTACATCCAAGCACAATATAGAGGATGAATGTCCACCAATCCATTTGACTGCCATGTTTCAAGGACACCTGAAACAAACAAAAAAATCCCCTGATCTAAGCTGGTGTTGGTCTCATTACAGCAGAAAGCTTATGGAGGCAACAGGATCATCTCATGGACTATAATGCAAAATATTTGAAAACTCTAGAATCCAGTTAAAACAAGCATTTCTACAGATCGGTACTCAGACGAAGCTTTGGCTCCAGCAGCAACATCAGCCACAAGCTGTGGAATGGCAGCAGTGCTGGCATGTCTACCTGTGCAGTACATGGAGTACATCTCCTGCTCTGATATGGCTGCCCACATGAGAGCTGCTTCCTCAGCACATAAGGACACAGCACACCTGTCAAAACAGGAGAACAGCTCCTAATGGGATGTACTGGACAGGAGCAAGGGGAAGATGAAAACTGGTAAAGTCCGTCTGCATAGCAGTCACTTTTCTCCAATCTGGGTGAGAGCACATGTGAACGTATGTCTTTCTTTCATCCAGCTGTCGAAGTGCCGGGTAGTCAGTACTTAATGTTGATTTGTAAAGCAGTCTCACAATACCTGGAGCAAGAAAATTCTGCTGGTGCAAGTGGGATAAATGGATTAATGCCAAAAGTGATTGCCTTAATTACAGTTTAAAAGCATACATTTGTGTGAATAAATTTTAAAATAATGCGCATGTGTACTTTGTGTTCCCAAAGTGAAGGTAATTTTCCTGTGGTATCTTTTAAAAAGAAGCACTACCAGTTTAAGGCAGGTAGGTATGAGGTTTGCAACATACTTAATTGGGCCTCAAAGCACGCCTGTCGACCTTACCATCCTCTGGGCCCTTTCCTTGGCGTGACTGCCCACAGCAGCGCATGTGGTAGGGCTGCTGAGGGAACCAAATCAGCAGCAGGTTAAGTGTGTGGGGGAAATGAGCCATAGAAAAACAGAGCAAGTTTTGGAGAGACCAGCTGTGGGCGAGAAGGAGAGCTAATGCCAGGGCAGGGACAGATGGCAGAAGTGGGATGTGTGGGGCACAGTTATAGCTGTCCCGGTGCAGCATCACAGCCATGGTGCTGCCGGAACATCTGTGGTCTGACTGCACTATGGGCAACGAAGGGTTTGTGCGGGGTTGTTTTGTTGGGGTTTTTTGCCATGTGGTGTTTCGCATGTGGTTTTTGTTGAGCCTGGTCTTAAGGTCAGCTAGAAAACATTCAACCCGCTAGGAAAATTTCAGCCCTGTCGATTAACAAAACCACAGAAAGCGAAGGATACCTTACAGCGGGCGACGAG